ACTTCATCAAACAAATTCTTGAGTAGATTTATCTTAGAAACAACATTGGAGGGTGCATCTTGACGATCTGGAGTCGAATCCACTTCAATCGGAGTTGACAGACCGTGAGATTTGTGTTCTCCTTCCTTCCTCTCTATGTATTTTTCAATTGTTGGGGTTTTGTATGTAAGTTTATCTTGATCGTATGTATATTTATGGATCTTTGTATAAAATCTCTTTTACAACTCTTTATCGATGATTATCTTGATTTTTTACTTAATGGGTATGGATTGCTATAGACATATACGGTTCGAACTCGATCTAAGATGAACATCTATTAGATTCTAAACTCTAGACATAGACTTAGGACTAATATTCACGTGGGTATCGATTCTTAATGCTCCGTGTTGTATAGTTGTGTGAGACATCACCGATGAGACGATACAGTTGATCTCTTGACTTTGCGTTAGACATAACCTCTGTTGTGAGCGATACATGATGATATTGACAAGCGATTTAGGTTGCGTGCATTTGATCCATATATTTTTTAGTACATGATGGGTGGAACGAAATACAACTCCTGACGAGTTTTCTCATTTCTTAAGAATGTATTTATTTTTTTGTTTTATGTTTTTCCTTTTGAATTTTTATCCCAAACCATTTAAACTCAAGCTTAGAGACGTAGAGATTGTCGAATGACATTCTTTCCCTCACACTGATCCCTGTGGAGACGATATAAATCTCAGAAGAAATTCTTCCGAAAATAATATTTTTGCTTGTTGTGGGCCAGCTGCAAGGCTCAATAAGTAATCTCATTTTCCCACCACATTAATGAATATCCTTCACAAAATTATCATACTAATCTCCTAGAGTCAATCTAACGGTTAGCTGCATCCCACACACAGAGTTGCCAACCATCTATCATATTTAAAGGAGAAGACACATCATTCTCCAAATATCATTCATTTTCATTCAAATTCAATTTCACTTTCGCAATGATTTGAGAGTTGGAGTGCTAACCTTGCATGTCAACTCTTATTTCATCGTATCAAAAACTTTAAACCACCATAATTTACCGTGAATTTAACTTTTCGAAATTTCATACAATTCTAAAACGGACCAATAAGTATAAAGAGTTTTTTTATGTTAAAAAAAAGTTAAAAGAGTATTAAAAAATGATACAAATCACTTATAAAATTACAATCATTGTTTATATATTTATAAATAAATAACATTTGCAAGCCGTATACACCAAATATGACTTGTATGCTTAGGAAAAAAATTGAAGTGCAAGTTACATGTGACACATACATAGCATGCTTCATAAAAATTATGAAATAAAAATTAAATTATAAAATAATTTTTTTCTTCTAAATGTAAGTTAATTATGTGTGTCATATACAACTTGTAATTTTTGTTTTTAATAATGTGTAGAAGTCTTATTTTTCATGTAAGTGGAGAAAAACCTAATAGTACCATCTTATTTTCTAGCTTAATAAACCATAATTTAGAATCGAAATTTTTGGTAACTTTTGAATGTTCCTATGTTTTTTGTATTCAAATATTACCATCATCATTGATATTTCTCTTTAATCTCTTTTGAGCTGGCATATACATACTAAATAATGATGATATTAGCAACCCAATATAGGTTAATTATATGTGAGTGTGGGAGGTATCTCCCCACAATTATAACAACCCTAGTAGGGCCAAACAAGACACAAAAACTTATGTGCCTAGACTTGACTAAAGCAAAAGCAAATTTGGAGATCCAAACCAAAGCACAATGTTGATCAATGCTAGGTATAGATTCCTTTTCATAAAAGATACATGAAAATGTGGATATTATTTAGGGAAAGTACATGTGAATGTGAGTAACGTATGGGAATAATATTTGCTTTTTTCATGCCACTATTTTAGAAAACAAGAGGAGCCATTTCAATAAGTCGGTGGTGGCGGTGTAACCCCTAACCAAAATGCCAAATTCATCCTTGTTGGAGCCACATAACATAACATGAATGTCAAATTCATCTTTGTTGGAATCACATAACATAACATGATGTTTTTTTGGAATCACATAACATAACACGATGTTTTTGGATTATCTGATCGGTTAATAGTCTCGTTAAATTAAGTCAGTTGATATTTGTGTAATGTATATATTTTTACCGAAATATAAAATTAATATAGTATTATAAATTTTAGTTCGAAACTTTTTTACTTGTATTTCAATAATATAAGATTTTTTATCTAAATTATTAAATAAGTTCAACAGAATAGAGAATAATGGGTACATAATACAAATATCAGAGGTATATGTGATCACCATAACAAAGACTTACAGTTCTCAAAATTTCTAAGATATTCAATGTGTAAGAAATCTTAAGACTTTTACAATTACAACATACATCAGAAAAATCTGCATATACAATGAGTTGATAATTGTTGATCTTGTTATTCTTTCTTCTGCTTGATCATTGCTAAAGATTCAATTTGAACCTTCGGCCATATTTATAGCCTTTTCAGAAATTAGCCGTTAAAGAGGTAATTTGATCAAGAGTTTTTGTTGTTACTCCATAATACAAAAGCCGTTGAAGATAGATACACCACAAGATCTTGATCCCATGTGTAACACGTTTAACCTTTGAGTCTTCAAGAGATTTTGTACTAATAGAGCCGTTGAGAGTAGATATCCATAAAACATCTCAACTTTTCTTGAGCCTTGCAATATGTAGACTCTAGCTGACAAACTGATTTGACAATACAGCTTGCTTTCTGTAGTATAAACAACTTCAGCTTTATCACAAACTCTGAATGATACCACATGTCAATTTACATTCACTAAATGTAGAGACAATAATGTTGTTTCTTCTGAGACTGAGACCTTCAACTTCAGAGTTTTTGCCAGACATCACTTAGCAAGTGTTCTTCATATTCTACCACCAGAAGCTAACAATTCGGCAACTCTCAAATTATATTTTAATGTAGAATATATTCTGACCATAATATTTACAAGTATTAGAACCTCCACACATATAACACACAATTAAACCATTGTTCTTTTAATACTATAAACCATTATGATTTATAGTACTATATTAATTTTATATTTCACTAAAATAAAAAAAAAATTATTAATGTCACGTTAACGGTTAAATTAATGAGTTTTTGATTTGAAAAGTTCAAAAATTTAATATGGAAAAAATACTATATAAATTGGATTAGATATATTCATAAATAAATAGATTTAAATAATTTATAAATTAATTTGATTTAAATCATTAAATTTAAAAATCGACATACATTCAAACTCATATCGAAATTTCGAATACACCTTCGTATATTTGATTTTTTTAATTTAATGAGTAAAAACTGACATAGTTAAATGTGACATGATCGCCTAATTCAAACTCAAAATTTAATAGTTATATATAAATTTTGTGATTATATTATTTCGAAAAGAGCATGTATTTTGTAAAACATAAAATTGAGTTTATTGCATAAGCTATTAGTTGGAAGGAGCCTATATTATATAATTTGATATTAGTATAAAAATACAAAGTTTATTTGGAAGCATACCCACATAATGAACTCAAGCATCTTTGCAGCCGTAATCGGTCCCACACCTCACTTTGAGACCGGTCCCACCAGCTCATGTGTCTGGTTAGGTGGGCCCATGTCATTTCCTGCCTCCAATACAAAATCTAAAGTGGAGCTGGCAAGCTTCTCAAAAGTAACATTTTTGTCCACACAAAATTCTTACACCTTGAAACAAGAAACTCATTTCATACAAACAACTTTATTTCCAATATACTAATAATCCACATGAGGCAGTCATTATAAAAGAAAAATGTTTTATTATTATTATTATTATTTTTTTTTTGCTTTTGGTTTTGTCCTGATGAGAATTAATTTAAAGAAGACTGATTTTTGTTAATTTTTGTTAAAAATATATTTGATATAAAATAATTTATATTTAGATATATTATGTAAAAGTAAGTTAAATAATAAATAAATATTATATTTAAATAAAAAATTATAAATTGTAACTTTAAGAAAAAATAATTTTGAAGACATAAGAATCAAAAATATCAAAATCATTACAGAATAAATTCTACATCTCTACAATTATTTTTGTCTCATTCAAAAGATAAAACAGTCTTGTCTAATCTTGAATGTGATGCAGTATATTATGAGGATCAAGTAGATAATAAATGCTCTAAACACGCTCTTAATACATAGGGACAATTCTTATCTTATAATTTAATTTTATAAGGTTGAGTTAAATCAAACTATAATTCTATTATAGTATCACAAACTTACCGATACAGGTCACCTAACATTTATGTGTATCAAGTTTAATCCAACATTCACATCATATATTATCTGATGTGATATTCTTAATACACGTTTTAACGTTCAGGATTGAACATCTAAAATGTAGAAAATAAATTGTAGATGATCCAGCAGAAATTTATAGCAGTTGGTCCATCTGATTTTAAATGAGATTATGTTTAAATGTTAATAAATATGATTATACCTAACTCATCTTTAAAAATTATTTTATAAAATAAAATAATATCATTAAATATAAACTCTTTGTGAACTCTATCTTTAACAAATACTTTTTCTTAATAATTATCAAATGATCTAAAATTTTCACATTTTTACCAGAGTATTTCTAAATTTTTAAAGAAAAATTTCTAAATTTCTCAAAAAGAAAAACATTTCATTAATATTGCTTGAAAAGAAATTTACATTCTTTAATTTGTTTTGACTCAAGAACATTACTTTTTCCCTCTAAGTCTAAATAAAACATCTCTCTCTCTCTCTCTCTCTCTCTCTCTCTCTCTCTCTCTCTCTCTCCTTTTGATCTACTCTATCTTTCTCTCTCTCTCTCTCTCTCTCTCTCTCTCTCTCTCACCAAAATACAGTTTTGACATCTTGTCTGAAAACTCTATAATCCTTTACTCTTTTTCTTTTGTACATAGAAAAAAAAAATACAGAGGAATCAACCAACCATGGCCGCCAACAAGTTTGCAACCATGTTACACAGAAACACCAACAAAATCACCCTTGTTCTTGTCTACGCAATCCTCGAATGGATTCTCATAATCTTTCTCCTCCTAAATTCTCTTTTTTCATATTTGATCATAAAGTTTGCTGATTATTTTGGTCTCAAAAGACCCTGCATGTGGTGTACTAGAATTGATCATATCTTAGAGTCCGGAAAAAACATGAACCCTTGTAGAGATCTTGTGTGTGAAGCTCATGCTGTTGAGATTTCAAAACTTGGCTTCTGTTCAAATCATCATAAACTTGCTGAATTAGATGGTATGTGTGAGGATTGTTCACTTTCAGTTTCGTTTTTGTCGAAACCGAATTATGTTGAGTTGTCTCAAAGTATTGATTTTTTTCCATGGATGAAGGAGATAGATAGGATTGAAGGTGGTGATGGGAAGGTTGTTGAGAAAGATGAAGAGGGTTTAAGGTGTTCTTGCTGTGCTGTTAACTTTGATAACAGATTTTACCCTCCTTGCATTGTGGTTAACCCTTCTGTGAACATTTTGGAAGATTTGGAGTATGAACAGAACTCAGAGAAGGTGAATTTGATCAAAGGAGATGTGTTTGTTTCAGAAGATGATCGTCGTTTAGATCAGAGCAGATCAGATTTTTCAGTTGTTCATCATGAAAATCAAGACAAGATTGAAGAAAAAAGTGGAGTTCATTTGTTGTTTGAGGTTGAGGAGAATTGTGGTTGTTCTGTTTGTGATGGTGTCAAGGAAACTATGGTTGATGATCTGTACAAGCTTGAAATTGGTTTAGAGAAAGGGAAGGAAACGGCGGAAGAGGAAAGGTTGAAATTGATTGTTCCAAAGCCTAAGGATGATGATGATGTTGATGAAGTTTGTGATCTGAGTGGTGTTGAAGTTGAGAAAATTGAGAAAATTGAGAAAATTGAGGAAATTCAAACGAAACATCTTGATTTTTTCATTCATGGTGATGATTGTAGATTGATTCCTGTTGAATTGGTTGATTCCGGTGCCACAGAAAATGGAAATCAAAGTAGATATAACAAGGGGTTGGATGAAGGGTTTAGAGATAATGAAGATTTTATTCTCGACTTCGATGTGAATAACACTGATGCAGAAGCTGAGCCGTTAATTGAGAATTGGCACGTTTCGGGTGATATTGTGGCAGAATTTTCATGTCAAGAGAAGAAAAAATTCTACAGGGTGAATGAGGTTGAATCAGGGTTACAAGTAGAACAAAATTTGGAGCAGAATTATCAAGATGTGAGATTCGCTCAAACAGATGAAGACTTGAGCAAGGATGATAATGTTGAAGTTGAAGTAAACATGGAGAGAATGATGCATGGAGATGGAGAACTAGGTTCATATGTTTCTCTAGGTGATTATTGTTTTCCTTCAAAACAATTTGACTCATTTTTTATGTTTTGTTTTTGTGATTCTTTATAGGAAATCATTGGTCTAATGTACTTTCTTTATTGTTGCAGCTTCTGAAGATGCATCACAAACTCAAAGTGAGGAATATGAAGCAGAAGTATCAATTGGGACTGAAATTCCTGATCAAGAACATGTGGAGGAGTATCAAGGCCAAGATATGCTTTTCGAAACAAATCAAAGAATGCAAGACGATTCATCTACTAGCTCAGTCAGATTTCATGTTCAACATGATAGTGGTAAGCCTCGATTTCTTAGAACCATGGTTTTAAATTGCGGTCTGCCACTGCATCCGCAGTATTGCTGATGCGGTAGCCTCCACAACCACATTGGACTACAATTGCAGTGTGATTTAAAATCACGCGTGCGACCACACTAGGAACCCCATCAAACAACTTCGCCTATGTTCAAAATCTTAGAAATCCAAAACTCAATTTCTTTTGATGTAATGAAAAATCTTAACTTTAAGTGTCTCTCAAGTGTATATTTCAAGCACCTCCCAATCAAAATTCACGAACCAACAGCTGCAGCCGCTTCTGTGACTGCAACCGCAATTTTAAACCATGCATAGAACCATAGTTCTAGATTGTGGTTGCAATCGCAAACCTTGAAATTGCGGGGCAAATGAAGCTGATACTAACTCAATTCCACCTCTGATGTTATTGCGGAGACTTCTAAAACATTTTTCTGCTGCTGCAATTTAGAATTATGCTTAGAACTTTCTAATGACATAAGCTGAATTTATTTTCATATACCAAAATTTTCAATATGTAATTAGGTCATGACAAAGGCGAAGAAGAGTTTGTAGAGTTTAACACCATGTCACTTGAAGTGAGAATGCCAACATCAAGTAACCATATTCCATCATCTTTTGAGCTTAATGAGAACGAAGAAGAAAAGTTTTCCGACACACCAACGTCTCTTGAGAATCTTCATCAACTACACAAGAAACTACTTTTTCTTGAAAGGAAAGAATCAGGAACAGAAGATTCATTGGATGGAAGTGTAATAAGCGACATAGAATGCGGTGAGGTGACGCTTGAGAAGTTAAAATCAGCGTTGAAATCAGAAAGGAAGGCTTTGAAAACTTTATACGCAGAACTAGAAGAAGAAAGAAATGCGTCTGCCGTAGCAGCCAATCAAACGATGGCAATGATTAATAGGCTTCAAGAAGAGAAAGCAGCGATGCAGATGGAAGCTTTGCAGTATCAACGAATGATGGACGAACAATCCGAGTACGATCAAGAGGCTATGCAGCTTCTGAATGATCTTATGTTAAAGAGGGAAAAAGAGAAGCATGAGGTGGAAAAGGAGCTTGAAGTGTATAGAAAAAAGGTTCATGAATATGAGGTACGAGAAAAGATGATGTTATCGAGAAGAGATAGTAGCATCAGAAGCAGAACTTCGTCTCTTTCTTGTAGTAACGCTGAGGATAGTGACGGATTGTCCATTGATTTCAACCAAGAAACAAAGGAAGAAAATGGTTTTCACGGCAATCATCAAGAATGCAGCAGCAACCAGAACACTCCGGTAGAAGCTGTCTTATATTTGGAGGAATCATTATCAAGTTTTGAGGAAGAGAGGTTATCGATACTCGAACAGCTTAAAGTATTGGAAGAAAAACTAATTATCTTGAATTATGAAGAAGACCACTGCTTTGATGATGATAATACATCGATAGAACATCTTCGTGAAGAGAACGGAAACGGATATCACGATGGCGATCATGATCATGATGATCACCAAGGTCAGGTAAATGGATTTGTAAACGGAAATGGAAAGCCGCATCAAGGGAGGAAAATCACAGCCATAAAAGCTAAGAGGCTTCTTCCACTTTTTGATGCAATCAGTACAGAAACAGAAGATATAGAGTTGAGTGGAGATGAAAATGAAAATGAATTAGATTTTTCTCAGTTGCAAAATATTTCGGCTGAAAAGGCAAATTTGGATAAGAAAAAGGTTGGTTTAGAAGAGGAAGTGGATCATGTTTATGAGAGACTACAGGTGTTGGAGGCAGATAGAGAGTTTCTAAAGCATTGTATCGGTTCATTGAGAAAAGGCGATAAAGGGTTAGATCTTCTACAAGAAATTTTACAACATCTACGCGATCTGAGGAATGTTGAACTCAGAGTCAAGAACACAGGAGATCTTGCCGTGTAAAAAAGTCTACATGTTCAACTCTACCAAAGATATGATAGGTAAATTTTGCTAACTCTTTCTGACGTCGCGTATATTATTTTGCGTATGTTTTGGAATAACTTATTTAATTTATTTACCGACATAAACACACATGATTAAAATTGTTAGAAGTTATGACATATGCATATATGCATTTCCGCTTATTTCCTTAAGTTCTCCGGAATAACTTAATGAAAATGTTTTATAGCTTGTATGATAACTGTTTGATTACTGCTAATAAACGGACACGACAAATCAGTATTGGAAGATGCCGATACTGATACTGTTTTTATGATAAAAAACAAATTGTCATTAATTTACACACCGACGACCGCAATCACTGTTACAACTTCTGTATCGACTGAAATCGCGAAAGTCCGTCATTTGAAGCAGCTTATAGATTATTCCCATATTCTAACATGTATTTATCTTAAATGCAGATTTGTTATATTGTAGGTGATCAACATGCTGCAAACCAAACCAAGCATACATGAGCAGTGCTCTACAACACAAACACAAGAAACCAAATTGCATGCATAACATCAAATTTTAACCAAAAAAAAAAATCAGTATGATTATTTTGTTTGTCCAAGTGGGCCCAAATTTTTGTGGGTTGTGTCCATCATGATTACCTTTATGAAAAAGGAAGATGATGAATATATGTGTGTGTAGGGTAGTGAGGTGAAGAGATGCTGTCAGTTGTATTTTGTGAGGAAAAAACCTGGCTTGCAAAGCTGGACAGATTCATAAAAGATTATTCCAGTGCCAGGTACATAGAATTTAGTTTATTATAGAGACAGAATTAATGTCACTAGTTTTGTCATTTTTTTATTTTTTATTTTGTTGTTTTTGAGGTAAGAGTGAAGATTGAGGTAAGTAGCCTCTTTCTCATTGTTTTTTGCATTATTGCATCCTATGAGGTTTGTTTCTTTCTGTAGACAAAAAAGATGAGTCACTTGTATACTACATGTATGTATTCATTTGTAATTATTATAAAAAAAAGTGAGTGTTTGTTTATATACTGCTTGGAATTTACTCTTACTGTGTTTCTTAAGGCCTGTGAGTTTGTTGGAAGTTAAAAAAAAGTGTGAGATCCTGTGTCTCTTAAAGCACGTCAGAATCCATTTGAAAATGTAAAGCATGTTGTCACTGTCTGTACATGTAACAATATGCTAATTCGTGTATTCTAGATTAAACGTGTCGAGAGGGACAAATGAAAGGATGACATGTCCTATAATTTCCAAGAGACAAAGATAAGTATTTTTTTATAATGTCATTAATGCACCGAAATTGTAGTGTATTTACTTCTGTTTCCACCATAACAAATGTGAAATAAGAATATATATATATATATATATATATATATATATATATATATATATATATATATATATATATATATATATATATATATATATATATATATATATATATATATGTTCCCGTGAAAAGTCAGTCAAAATGACCAGTTATGAGTCTATTAGTGCTAGGCACGTATATACTCCATATGCCCTTGATCTTAGGTTATCTTAATTTTCTACAATAATTGTATTTTAATAAGTGCCCTCTTGCTATCCGGAGGAGTTTGACTCTCCTGCCATTGACATTAGATGAACTTTCCAAGGATATTGTCCACCATAAAAGTATAAAAGTGTTAAGTGAGAATTCACATAACTCAAACTCAATTGTTGTAATCGGTGATTGGAACAAAAAACAATTTGATTGGGTTAACAGTGGTGGAAAATAGAATTTAGAGATTTGAAATTGAAAGAAAAATAGGAGAGAGATATTAAGGGTGAGAATTATAATTGACATTAATCTCAAAATGGGAGCACAAAGTCTATTTATACAACATGTACAAAATAACTGGGAAAAGTCAAAACAACTTTAAAATAAGTTAAAATCACAAAAAATGTCCAGTGTAACCGGTTACCACAAACACCCTTAACTATTGACTCTAGTGTAAAAAGCATGTAACCGGTTACCACATATTCGGTAATCGGTTACACCAACTGAAATGTAGAAAAATAGTTTTCCAACACACCACCTCATTTCAGTTGGTCCAAGTCCACCATGCTCAAGTTCATCTTCAACCTCTTGAACACTTCATTTGTTACTCCCTTAGTCAACAAATCTGCAACTTGGTCTTCGCTTCGACAATATCTCAATCTTAACTTGCCTTCACTCACTAGCTCCCTCAAATAATGAAATCACATCTCTATATGCTTGCTTCTTACGTGTGCAATTGAATTCTTCGCAAGGTTTATTACAGAAACATTATCAATAAGAAGTGTGGTAGCCCCACCCTCATAGCTACCCAACTCCTTCAATAGATTCATGAGCCACATAACTTGACACGCACATAACGATGCCGCAATGTACTTAGCCTCACAAGACGAGAGTGCTACCATCGGCTTCTTCTTCGAACACCAAGTGATTGATGTCCTACCAAACATAAAGATGTATCTAGTCGTCGACTTTCTATCATCCTTATCGCCACATCAATTGGAATTGGTAAAATCAAGTAAATCGCATTTTCGGCCCGTATTCGTTGCGGGAAAGAGAATTTTGAAGCCAAGAGTTCCTTTAATGTATCTAAGGATCCTCTTGACCGCTGCCAAGTGAGACACCTTCAGTCTCTCCATGAATCTACTAGCATATCGACACTAAATGCCAAGTTCGATTGCGTATTGCACAAAAACCGCAATGATCCAATCAGTCTCCTATATTGTGTTAGATTCACATCTTGCTCATCCTCACTCTTGAACAACTGCAACCTTGCTTCACATGGTGTAATGGCCGCATTACAATGTTTCATTTCACACCTCTTCAAGATCTTAAGAGCATATCTCCTTTGGTGCATGAGTAGTCCTGTTTTTGACTTGTGGAACTCTATGCCAAGGAAATATGTCATGATACCAAGGCCCGTCATCTCAAATTCATCCATAAGCTCACTCTTGAATGTAGAAATACTCTTCTCACAACTGCTGGTAATCAATAGATCATCAATATATAAGAAAAGAATGGTCATGCCACCATTCACATCCATTTTCACATACACTTCGTGTTCGGACACACACTGCTTGAAACCAATAACAGTTAGAAAGTCATCAATGCGTTTGTTCCAAGCTCTTGGAGCTTGTTTCAAATCATATAATGCTTTATGCAATTTGTAGAACGTCAATTCTTGATTCTTCACTACAAATCCAGGTGACTGGTCAATATAAACCTCCTCATCAAGCGGACCGTTCAAAAACGCAGATTTTACGTCCGTTTGATATATCACCCAATCGTTGTTACTCACAACGCCAACAACTAATCAGATGGTTTCTAGTCTAGCCACAGGTACAAACACCTTCTCAAAGTCTATACCTTCACGTTGCAAAAACCCATTTATTACCAATCAAGCCTTATACTTGATCACCTCGCCTTTGGGATTTGCCTTCACTTTATAGACCCATCGAACACCAATTGGCTTCTTTCCAAGCGATAAATTAACCAACTCTCAAGTACCATTTTTTTCAATAGGTTCCAACTTCTTCTTCATTGCATAAATCCACTTTGGATCGCTTAAAGCCTCTTTCGTGTTCACCGATTCGGATTTAGCCATGAGCGTAAAGTGAACGAAATCACCATCGTCATTGATTTAGTTGTCTCGGAATTTCTCACATTCTTGGAGTCCTTAAGGTAACACCTTTTGCCTTGTTGGTCGTCTAACATTCTCTTTATTTCAGACCTCGATCGGTGGCTGTACGTCTGTTTCGGAACTGACTGGATTAGAAAAAACAAACATGGGAGGCTATTTTTTCTGCATGTAATTGGTTACACCAGGATGAACTGGATGAGTGTAATCGATTACATTGGTGCCTGCAGGTCTTATTTCATAAAAAATTACATCGTGGATGATCACTATTTTTGGATTTCATGCATCAAACAACTTGTATCCACTAGTAGAATGATATCCAACCAATACCATCACCTCACCCTTGTCGTCTAACTTCTTTATAAATTAACTCGACACATGTCAATATGCCACCGAACCGAAAACTCTCAAATGGCTTAGATTCGGGTTGAATTTGGACCATACCTCTTCCGGTGTCAGCTTCTCAAGCTTCTTAGTAGGGCACCTATTCAGTAAATAGATGGATGTAGAGACCACTTCTCCCTATAGCTTCTTCGATAATTTCTTTCCATTCAACATGCTTTGAACCAGGTTCATTATTGATCGATTCTTTCTCTCGGCAACACCATTTTGTTATGGTGTATAGGGTGACACCACCTCATGCATTATCCCTTCTTAATCACAAAACTTTCCAAAGTCGTTCAAAATGTATTCACCTCCACTATCCATTTTAAGCACTTTGAGTTTTTGACCATATTGTCGCTCCACCAAGGACTTAAACTTCTTGAACACATCAAGCACCTCATCCTTCCTCTTGATAAGATAAGTCCATAGCTTTATACTAAAATCTTCGATAAAAGTGATAAAGTATTTATTGTCACCCAACATGTCAACTTGTATCAGCCCACATACATCGGAATACACCACCTGAAGGTGAGTCTTGGTCCTATGACCCACATCCTTTCTAAAACTAGCCTTGTGTTGCTTTACAGGTTTGGTTTTATTCAAGTTGGGGAGAAAATGTTGGTTGTTATGCGATTGAGAAAGAAAAAGATTGAAAAAGAAAGAAAAAAAGTGAAAAATAAAAATTGAAAAAGGACTTGAAAAATAGAAAATAGAAAAATGTTGTGCTAATAAGATGTGTGGAATGGTGTAACAATTTGGAAAAGAGAAAAAGATGATTGAAATTTGTGAATGCTTGAGATTGTGAGAAATGATCACTCTTATTTGATTAGATAAGTTTTTGTTTCTTTTATCTTGAGAAAAACAATTATTTGTTACTCAGGACACATTACAACCCTTAAATCCCTTATGATTTTTACTTTTATACTTTCAATATGATTTTATTTAGATGCATGCA